TGGGGAATGAAATGACTTGTCACAACACCAGGGTTGGAAAGTCTCAGTGAACTGTAGTATTTTTCTTGAAGAATCTGTTTGTAACTGCTATGAGCTTCCTGTCTGCTTCCTGAGAAGCTAAACGTAATCTCTAAGATTATATCTCAGAGATACAGTAATACAAGTAAATCATTGTCACCCAACCTCTTTTGGAGCTTCAGCTACTGTAATGTTTAATGTTTTTCCAAGTTACAATCCATGTTTTAAATTATAGTTCAACTTAATTGTTTTGCTCATATTTGCAGTATTTAGCTTTGCCAGTTTTACTATGAGGTACAGAACCAACTCCAACTCACAAAACAAAGAGAAGGCTCCCCCATGTGTCTCTCTACTGAAAGACTTATCAGGGTTGGATCTGCAGGACTCACTGCAAATTTTTATGGAGAGTGAATGGCAGGACATGGGGATCCGGAGGAGTATCACTGTAGAGCAGTGACCTTCCTATAAAAACTGCCATAGGAAAATGAGACTAATCCAGTATAAATTGCCAAACAGTGATTTTTTTGAGAGTATCTATTTTGGGAGTTTGAAATGAATAAATGTAAGGCTTTCTTAGCTTTTTCCCACTTTTATTTTATAGGAATATAAAATATTCCTATATTTTATTCCTAAATTTCCAGGCGAAATTTGTGCCTCTGGTGAAACTGTTATTCTTGTGTTCTTAATACTGACAGGTTTTGGTTACATAAAAAGGAAGTGTGAAGCAGATCCATTGAACTGTGTGAAACTACTCCAAATTATCACATCCAGCCTATAATGTCTTCTAAGACAGTCTCTGTGTGCTTGAGGCACTCATGTAATAACATTTACGAATTAGCCCTAGTGTGTTTCTATCAACATCAGTGCCAGCCCTTTGATTTATATGAATGGTGCAGGTTTTGCATCCTTTCCACCAGCTGATTTAAGTAATAACAATAAAAATACCTATCAAAAACCTGTAGGTGCTGTGACAGTTTTAAAACAATCGAATGCCAACACTAAAAAAACCCAAATTATATTCAACAGAAACAAATTAACCGAAAAAAAAATCATCCAGCTGATTAATAAATAGGCTACAGAATTGCTCCTCTTCATCTTAGGTCTGTGAACAAGCCTTCAACCACTACACAAATGCTGGCAATTTCAAGAACTATTCAGTGTTACCAGTTATTCGGAGAAATTTTGTAAATGCAGAGATGAAATCTTGATATGAGTTTTTTTAATTACACTGAATTTATGTGTCGAATGGGTTGAGTCAATCACTGCACCCAATTTGTTTCTGAATAGCAGTGATCTGTGGAAAGATATGTTGCTTCTGGGTCTGTTATGAGCAGGACTGATGGCCTCAATGCTCACTTCCCTGTTTCCTGAGCCTCCAAGCCTCCTGTGCATGGATGGTATACCGTAAAGTTGAGACTGTCAACCCCCAGGTGGCCATGCTATCCCCAATCTTTTATCAGTGATTTATGTGTAAACTATTCAAGATACCTTTGCTGGTTAAAGATAAGAAAGCTCCTGAAGTTTGTTTTCTCTCTACGGATGTGCCTGGCTTTGAATGTTTGATCCAGCTGATGAACTGTGAGATGAAAGTGTTTATGCCAGGTGTGTACTGGGATTGCCACTGAGAAGTGAATCATATCAGAAGCCTGAAAATGAAACTCAGAAATTTTAAAAAATATTCTAAACAGAGGCTACTTGAGACAAAAAATATTTTCCATCACTTCATAAAACAAATAGTAATATCTGTTGGAACTGAGACAGATCTGTGGCAGATGTTGGATTATTGTGTTTGACATATATGAAAACTCTGATCAACAGGGAATGGCATCTCAGTGGGTACTTTGAATTGGTCTTTGCTCATGTTATGCACACAATCTATGAGGCAAGTTTCACATAAATTTCTTTAAATTATTTTCTGTTCTTCTTTTTAGATGACTTTAACATTTAGGCTTCCCTGGGCCAGTCCATAACACAGCCCTCCCTCCTTCTGCTACTTCAATTGCAGAAACCAGCAGATGGGTTTTCAGCCACAGAACAGTAATGGGTGACAGCTGAAAAATTCGGACATCGCTTTTGTCTTGAACTAGTCTTGATACCAATTGAACCATGATGTCCTGAAGTGGAAATAACATTGTTTTTCAGATGGTAGGGACTAACTGAGGGACTTTAAACAGGTTTTTCTATATAAAGATAATTCTCTTTGAAACCTCTTGTGTTATATAAGAGCAGGAGAGAGGAATGGTATTCAACATTGTGCTGCTTCTACATGTCAAGTGTTAAGGATACTTAAAAGTAAGATTTTAAAAACATATTTTTCTCAAAGACATTTGAATTTTTTTGTGGGAGTTAGATTTTTTTTTTTTTTGCCTTTCTTCCACATCCCATTATTCTTCCTTTTCTCCTCAATCAAGTGTTAATGAGGAATTCAGTTAAAAAAAGAAAATGCAGTGAGGATAAACAGACCTCAGAGGCTCCTCATTCAGCTCAGCAGGGCACTAGACCTTAGCTATCCTTCATTTCCCGGTGAAGATGATCAGTTCTGGGTGAGCACTTTCAAAGGGCGCAGGGTTTTTGAAGGTGCTGGGCAGGATGATGGATTGTGGTGTCTGTCATCCCGTGTCCTGCGGAAATGCAGCGGGGGGGCTGTGCCGGGCAACTTGTGAAGGGAGGGAGAGGCAGCGACACTCAGCCAGCTGGAAGCCTCCTGGTTCTGTGGGATCTGGTCAAGGGCCTGCTGAATAGTGCTCGAGCTCCAGTGTTTTCTAAGAATGACTGGGAAAAGCCATTTTTTAATAACAAACTCCAAAGCATAATCCCAGTGAGATGTTAAAGGTGTCTTGATGACTTCTTCTTTTAAATTCTGGCTTTGTTTTTGAATATTTCAGTTGCACACTAATATATTTATTGCTCCCACAGATTAAAAGACCTGGGAATATATATTTTTCTGCTTTTCTGAGATGCACTTGTAACATTCCTAAACAAGTCACTGTAACATAATTTTTGTGTATTCAAATCACTTGGGACTTTTGAAATATTTTTAACATTTATCCTTTTAGTTGGGCTCAGTGTTTTTAAATGCACCTTTATTTTTTGAAAATTGTTAAGAGATTGCAATTATTTACATATAACATCTCACAATCTTTCTGAATTTTGAATATTGAAATTCCATGTTTTCTTTTGTGACATTTGATTATTCTCTGTGTTTGTGTCCATCTCCTTCTTTTCTCTGCTTGTAATTTGTGGTCAAGGAACAACTGATGTTGAAGTGCTATTGTAAAGTGAAAAAAACTTCAAAGCAAATGAGAACTTTACTCTAGTTTAAAAAAAAAAAAAACTTTTTTTTTTTACATTTTGTTATTTACATTTTCTGCTTGTGATGTTAAAATCTATTCAAAAAATGGGAATGGACTCCTCTTGCCTATTCTACCATTAGTGTCAAATACCTCAGAGAAATACTTCAATCCAAATTTAAGACCTCCCTTTTTTACAGCTATATATAGATTTTGGTAAAATAATCTTTAAAAAATAAACACAGATAGAAATGTAAACTCTACCTAGTGATATCTCATTTATAGCTGATGTGGGTAACTACAGCAAAAAAAGATTTTCTGATTCAGAATAAAAAGATTTTAGAAAAGGCATTATCAGGAAACTACTCTGCCACCTTTACAGAAACATCAGATGGAGCTGTTCAGATGGTATTGCTGGTGCAGTGACTGCAGAGGGAGCCACCGATCTGATGGAAACAACAGTCCTATTCTTGGCGAAGAAATGTCAAGGATTTGTGCTCCTGTTTGTTTCATGAGAGGCCATGTCAAATCTCAGCTAAAATGAGAACAAGAAGAGCTTATTTTGAGAAGGGTTAATACTGTGGTAATTTAGGGCAAGGAAAAAAGAAATAAAAAAGATCAGCACACTTATATAATGTCTGAACCTTCTGAAAGTCTTAATAGAAAGAAATAGGTCCATGTCGATAGAAGAGGAGAATGTCCTGATAGCTGTGACAGTGCTGGGGTGAAGTTTAGCTCAACCCCAAAGAGCTCATATGAGCTCGTAGCAAACGCTGCCCTCTCGCAGATCGTGGTTGTATGGAAGGGATTGGTTGCAAACACGCTTGTGAGGGAGCAGTTTGCAGAGCAGCCGAGCAGCCATCCTGCTGGTCTGCACTCCGAGCCACCTGTTGTACCCCACACCACATCTCCACTTGCAGAAAGCTCCAGGCCCCTTTCTAACTCATTGCTCTGTAGCAATTTTCCACTTGGATCAAGGCCAGTGTGTCATTAACAGAACCAAGAGAAGCAGCAAACTGCAATGTGGCTACCCAAAGACATGGCCAGAGAAAGGGAAATGGGGAGGTCCTTTAAGCTGGGAACAGTGACCCTCCAAGAATGCCAGAACCAGCTTTCAAGAAACATATGGAGGCAGAATTTGCTAGTCAAAGCATTATTAGCAATCCCTGTTTTTTTCACAGTTTATCTCCTCTCAAAGCCTGGAACCAAAACATTTCCCATTTCTTTGCAGAGTCCTGTCTTCTTGCCTTTGCTTTGATTGCCCTGCTTCATTACATCCGGCTTATCCAGAAACAAATGTTGGTTTCTATGGACCTCCTGCTGTTTGTTTTAACAAATCTTTAATAAAAGACTGAAAGAACTTCAATATGCTGAATCATACTATTAAATCTAGCCCTGTAGCTGTGAAGGTGTGACTTTGTTACAGATAGAAATGTGATACTTATCCTACTCCTACTGATTGCTGTTTAGGCTATTGAAGTCTGGGCAAAGATTCAGGGGAATTCACAGGGCTGGAGAAAAGACAGGTTTCCAGGCATCCAGCCCCTCCATCAGTCCACTGATTGTAGCAGATAAGTTTTGAAACAAACTTGCAGGAGAATCACTTGTTTCACTATCTGTAGAAGTCTGAAAACCTTTTTTTTTTTCCCCTCCTTCTTCCGGAGGCTAATTATTCCTTTTCTTTTTGTGCAGATCCTAGAAGAAAGTATCATGTAAGGCTGCTGGCATACAACAGTATGGAAGAAGGTTATCAGGCAGACCAAACAGTCAGCACTCCTGGATGTGTCTGTAAGTGTTGTAGATGCATGAAGAATTTATTGAGAGCTGAGCTGTTTCAAGGTCCCAGCAGCTCTGTGTTTTTAACCTATAAATAATCAATTAATTCAGTGTAAAACAGAGAACCAGAAAGATCATATCTGTGACAAATACTATCCTAGTCATCCTGCAATTGAGATAGTTTCCTGTGTTTGTGAAGTGCAGTTGAAGAAACAAGATAGGCCAAGCACATTTCCCTCCTCTGTTGGACTGTCTGCATCATCTGACAGTGACTATCATGTATCTTATGAGATATTTATGTCTCTCTCTCGTCTCTGTTGATAGTTTTGACTTTGTTTTTGACTAAACAAGTGGGACTGCCCAAATAATATGTGACATGTGTTGGGTTAGCAGGGATCTTTAATAGCTTGAACCAGATTCCTGGATCTGAATACCAGGTAGTGCTGGGTAAGGGCAGATTTGAACCTAAACTGTGGGCTCAGACCTCTTAACATTACCCAGTAAATAATTCCTGCTCCTTTTTTGTTTCAAACAGCTGTCCGTGACCGCATGGTGCCACCTCCACCGCCTCCTCACCACCTCTATGCCAAAGCAAACACTTCATCTTCCATCTACCTCCACTGGGGGAAACCTGCCTTTACATCTGCACAGCTCATCAACTACACAGTGCGCTGCAACCCCGTGGGGCTGCAGAACGCGTCCCTGGTGCTCTACCTCCAAACGTAAGTGCAGAGCTCTGGTGAGCCTTGGTTTGCCAATTCCACATCCTTCCCACTCAGGTTCTACTCTTCCTGCCCTCTTTTAACTGTCTTTTACCTGTAACAACTTTTATCTCCCATGGAGGACTGACTGTGTGTTTTGCCCCGTGGCTGCTTGTTCAGTTTCTTGGATTTTGCAAGATGTGTTCGTGGAACAGCTTAATTCTCTACTGGAGATCCTTACCTTGGATCATTGGGCTAGCTCTTGATTTTTTAATGGCTTTTTAGCTGTCTAGGTTGAATTTCATTTTAAGTTCTTCAAGAAAACAAGAGAGAATACCTATTTTATGGGTAGCTTGTCTGGGTAAAGGTGGGACTTAGTCCAGTGTCTGATTTTAAGACTGGAAATGAGAATTTTTGAGGGATTGAGCATTTTATTGTGGGAATGCCATGTTCCTTAGGGTGTGGGACCCTGCCAGGGGAAAGCTGAGTAGGATTACTTGCTTTTCAGAGAAGCAGTGCCTGAGCCACAGAATGGCAGAACAGGGAAGAAAGTCTTCCTGGTCTTGGTGTTCTGGGAGTAGAAGACTTTGTTCCGTGTGACTGCCTGTGTTGGGGACCCGTTGAGGGAATCTGTGTGTGTGTAGCTGCCTTAAAACTTTGGTTTACTCGAGCCTCTAAATAAGAAATATACTGTCTTAAAGGATAGTTCCCATCCTAATATTCAAGATATTCTCTTCCAAGAAGACTTCTCCTGCTGTAGAACTCCCGACTTAATGATTAGACACAGTATAATCACCATGTAAAGTTCTTAGTGTGCAATATGGAGCATAGCAAGGAGTGCTGCTTTTTGTGATAGGATGAGACTATTGCTAATAGTGGTGACTGACTTTGCACTATGGAAGATAAAACTACTAAATGAGATTTAATAAAGCAGTATCTGTAGAGTAACACCATTTTAAATTGAGATTTAATCTTGACTGACGTATTATCACCCAGAATTAACACTGGCATATATGAAAGATTTCTCTCTGCCCCTAGAATTAAAATAAAGTGAAATATCTACAATTAACTTTGTGAACAAATAGTAAACTGCAATATTATAATTAATATAATCAATTTTGCAAGAAATAAATTACTAAATGGGGCTACAAGGTGAGTAGAGAACATTCATATTCCACAGAGATCCCCTAATTGTGGGAGGTGATAGAGGCCATAAGTGGAAGGGGACATTGCACATGCAGCCTGTGGCTGTCTGTGAACTGAGAAGCAGATCCAGGAGCCAATATCATGTGCCTTGTCAGCTGTGATGCTGGTTGCAGTTTGTGTTACTCCAGCTGGAAACATAACGTCCTATGGACAAATGTGGAAAGAGCTGAGTTTGGGATACCTGCCGGTGATCCAGCCAGTAGTATTCTTGGACTTGCTTGTGCATCAGCTGTTCGAAGAACCTTTATAAAAACTTGAGCTCAAGTCAACTGACAGCAGGCATAACACCCTCCTGAGAGCTCCAGGGTTAGCACAAGTACACTTCAGGTGGGCAGCACAGACGGGCCACGTGTCTGGACTTGAACTGGTTTGTCCTTTGTTGAGCTGACAGTGAGAATCTACTCATGTGACCAAGAGATACCATCCGAGTTTGGGATCTTCAAGTCAACTGCTACTGTTAAATTTATTTTTTTCCTTCATCTATACAGGTCAGAGACTCATATGTTAGTTCAAGGTCTTGAGCCAAAAACTATGTATGAATTTGCAGTTCGGTTGCATGTGGACCAGCTCTCCAGTCCCTGGAGTCCTGTAGTCTACCACACCACCCTCCCAGAAGGTAAGGAACCAGGAGAGGACCATGTGGTTCTGAAAAGAAAGATCTGTAAACCAAATGGCTTGAAAAATTGCTTATTAATCTTCAGCTGTCTGTAGGAGAGAGAAATCCTTTCCTCTGAGATACATTTGAGATCCTTTGAGATAGCTCTTCTTGGTAAGAGCTAGAAAAATGCTGTCAGGAAAATCTTTGGTTAGGAACTGTGAAATTCTTTTTCAAAATCCACCTTAAATCAGCAATGATTTTCATATAAAGTGGGATATGCTTTCACCATTAGCAACTACTGAATAGAACTAACCTGAATAAAAACTTTAAAATATATATTGAAGAGGTAGGGCTGATTCATAGGCATTATGGAAACATATTTTAAGCCCCAGAAGTTTTGGAAACTGTAGGAATATTACACATCTAACACTCTAGCAGCTGGTTTGCTTTGCTGTCAGCTTGGAAGGGGGAAAATCCAAAACTTTGGTTTCATATTCTCCGCAATGCAATGTTTAAGATATACCTGTTCACAGGGTAAGGAAGTGGGGATCTGTTTCCTTCTGGAGTTGAAGGAAAAAATATGAAATCTGCTTTTCCAGAACCTCATCTATTGACCAGGTCAGAGTCAACAGGATGTCTCCCGAGGAGCAGCATGTGTTTGTTTGTATGTGGTTTCTGGGACGTAGCAGTGGCCATTAGGTCTGCACATCAGTTTCTTTCTGAGCAATTTAATTGCATGTAAATTGGGTTAGCCTAATAGCATTGTGTTACTGTTCTCACAGCACCATCTGGCCCTCCAGTAGGAGTGAAGGTGACTTTGATAGAGGATAATACTGCTTTGGTTTCCTGGAAGCCACCTGATGGTCCTGAAACAGTTGTTACACGATACACTATCCTCTATGCATCCAGGAAGTCTTGGATTGCTGGGGAATGGCAAGTGTTGCACAGAGAAGGTAAACTGAAATCACAAACCTATGAACAATGATGCTACTTATAATATGCTTTGTTACTTTCAGCTCCCTTGGACTATAGTAAGAAATAAAATAATATATAGATGTTCACATAAAAGTTCTAATTAGTTTAGAATAATTACCATGGGAAAATGCATTAAAACCCAGTTCATACTCAGAAGGTGAGGGGAGAAGGGCTGTCTGTGCTGCTTTGGAGCTCAGTGGGAACCAGGTCTTGTAAATCCAATTACATCCATCTTAGTTCTGTTGTAACCATGATTGTGATGGTTTCATTTTGTAAATGCACTCTTTCAAATCTGATGCCTGGCTCTCCAGAAATAAATGTATAAATGTAGCTGTGTGGGTTTATATATTTCTGTCAATCGCTGCCAATCCAGTTAGCTCAGTTTGCTTAATGAACTTTCCCCTACTCCCAGTAAATTGCTCTGCAAATTCAATTTAACTCTCTGGCTCTATTCTACTGCTGAGCCCCAGCTAGCTAATTTAGCAGTACCTCGGGTATGGTGACGTGAACTGCAGTCACATCTCTGTGATTAGGTGGAGAGATGGAATAAATTTTTGTAGGCACTTTTGACAATAATACTACGATTTGAAGAGCTGCATCAAAAAGAGATTTCTACTTTAGCCAGAAAAGAAAAAAAAAGCATTTATCGTTTGGTTGATATTCAAAATAAACAGAGGCAGTTCAGAATAGATAATGTTCTAATGATGTCTTAAATCAGAGAGGGAAGCTCAGTGTTACAGAGCAAAGTCATGTGCTTGAGCAGCCCATTTAAGAGGATGGCTCTGTAAGAGTTACTATTTTGTTGTTCTGTGTTGTTACCTGGCTGAAAGCTTAGTCGTCAGCAGAGAGTGAGGCGTTAAATTTTCTGTGGAGAAAATTCCAAAACCTTCATGAGTATGCTGTCATGGAGGACAATTTGCTTCATCATCATGGAGAGTGAACTGTTTTGGTTCAAAGCTGGTGGGTGTCCTGCTCCTGAGGAGAGCATGGAAGACCAACAACCATTTTGAAAGGTGGCAGTGCTGCTTTGTCTTTGCTGGAGCAGAATGTATTTGTCAGGCTGGCCCCAAATAGAATGGTCACCTGTGAAGAATGACAGGGTAATGACTATTAATCTTCAACAAAATTTGTAAAAAATAGCTAGTCTCTGAAATACCAATCAGGTCTAATTATAGGGGGAGGATTGAGCCCGTATTTTTTCACAATCAAAATTGTTCAAAGAAACAATAATATAAATAAAGGTGTCCCACTTAATTATTGGAAGAAACAGTGAGGTAAACTTGTCAAATTAGAGGATGAATTTACCATTAATTTTTACTCGGTAAAAAACCCAGCAGATTTAAATTCACAGAGAGCTTACATTCGAAGAATAAATCTTGTCATTCTGGTGATGATACACTGTATTTGCTGCATGCAGCAAAGTGGCTGAATTGCTTTCAGATATATCCTTCAGCTCAGCCATGCCTGAACATCATCTCTGATAGTATTTCACCAGAGATTTGGGATGAGGGGATGGCAATAACAGTAAACATTTTCATGTGTTCCCATACTGAAAGAGTTGGAGAGACTGAGCAAATGGAGAGCTGTAAATCTCAGTGTATTATATGTCCATCAATGCTAGAGTCACAAATTTTGTATTTTGCCAGATATATTAGGGTTTGAGGCATGGCATGGAATTCAGATATCTTGACATTAGGACAATATGTTATGCTATTAATTATAGGCAAAAAAGTCTGTGAAAGAAAACTAGTATGTAGAGGTAAAATGGGACAAATACTGTGATAGTCCTGTGACAGTACTTTCTTAGGTAATTTGAGATAGAAGCAGGATTTGGAGTTTTTAGTGCATTTATTCTGACAAGCTCAGCTAACCCTATGCAATATATAGCATTGTTTTGTCTTGATGCTAAACCTGTTCTGCAGAAGATTTGTGAAATCTTGACCCCATTCCAGTCTCATACCTCCAGAAACATCCCCCTTAAATAAAAAAATAAATCAATCCTGCCACCAATTTAAAAACCAAAACCCTCTAATTTACTGAGCTTGTGTTAGGCATGGTAAAACCAAAAAATGTAACTGCAGTTTGGTGCTGATTCATGATAGGAGTTATCTTCCAGCCACCTCCCCCCACAGTTCTCTTCAAGTGGATTAGAAGTTACAGCCTTTACACACTTGGTGTGCAGTAAATCAGTACAAAGTGCTCACTTGCTTCAGCCATGTAGCAGATTTGAAAGGAGCTGGTGGGAAAGAGTCTGTAATATTGAAATGTGACCTTTCACCCCTGCTGGTGCTAAATATTACGGCTCCTTTGGCTACAGATACCTCACATTTTACTTCAAATGCTTTCAGCTAATGGGTTTTTTCTATGGAAGAGCTGAAATAGCTTTTGAAGTAGCTCCTTTTTTTGCCAAATTTATAATCTTTTCTGTCAACAAAACAGGCTTATATTTTATATAGGCTCCCATGATACTATAAATTCTAGCTTTTCAAACTGATTTAAAAGGTTGAAATTTTGACTTAAGTCTGAGAAAGTGAATGGAATATGTGAAAGAGAACAAGAGAGAGATTTGGTCCTGTAACTGCCACTATTTAGGGAAAGAAAAGCAGTATATTTCCATGGTAGCAAGAAACACAGGCATTTTAGAAATGAACTGGAATTGTAAGCAGTAGTCTGCAGTCCCTGGGCAGGAAAAGCTCTCATTGAGTTTGATAGGAGTTTTGCCTGTCTAAGGACAATGCAAGTGAATCCTATTTATGTTCTTAATCTCTTTTCCTGCCTTCAGGGACTTTAGGAAATGAATTCCTAGCATGTGAAAAAGGCATTTTCTGTAGTATTCTTAGTAGCACAGCTCAGATGCACAGTAATCAAGGAAGCCTATGCAGGTCTAAATAGGGCTTAATTTTGTTTTAAAATTGTGGTATAATGTACTCTTGCAAAGCTAACCTGTTCATTAAACCAACTACACCTGAAATTTGATAAAGTGAACCTGAATTCTTTTGTTATGACAATTTGCATTCACATTCATGGTACAGTGGATTGAGGAGAGGTCTATATTTCTGCTTTTGCTGCCTCAGAGTCTGCTTATGAGCTTGGCTCACCTGCTCACAGATCTGATCACAGCATAAATGCTACCACACCGAAATGCAGCTCATGCCAGATTTAGGATTAGTGTGCTGTGTGTTGTACCCAGTATTTGATTCTTGGTTTTGAACTACACTGGAAGTTCACGGTGTGCTGTGTTCAAGCCGGATGGAGAGAAAGGACAGAAGGGACAAGAAGACAAAGCCCAGTGTTCATTCTGTTCCTTGTATGTCCAGGTTAGAAGGTATCAAAGTGATCACAATCCTCAAACAAGATTTGCAGGTGCTATTGGAAGGAAAGTGTAGGTCCCAGTGTCTAAATCTTGGTCTGTTCCCACAGATTTTATCTTAACTGGAACTGTCTATCAAATCTTTTTATAGGAGCAATGACCATGGCTTTGCTGGAAAACCTTGTAGCAGGAAACATCTACTTGGTTAAAATAGCAGCCTCCAATGAAGTGGGAGAAGGACCCTTCTCAAATGCAGTGGAATTTGCTGTCCTGCCGAAGGAGACATCGGAATCTAATCAGAGACCCAAGCGCTTGGATTCCGGAGATTCCACAAGTCAGTAGCAATGTTTTAATTACTGCTGTCACAAGTATTGGAGCAAAAAGATCCCTGTTTGTTTTAGCTTGTAACTGTGTTTTGGGTACACAGAACCTCACATTCTGGTTTATGTGAGGTAGTCCTAACACTGAAACATTTTTTTGTTCTAAATGAAATGATTTTGGAATTTTTATCTCAGTTCAACACAGAGCTGGTTTAATGCTCTTGGTCAGAAGTTGGAAGTCTGTCTATCAAATGACAGTACATAACTGGTTTGAATTCAACTTTGCAGCCACTCCTCCATGGCATTTCCTCTAAGTCCTTTATGTCTTGAGATACCCGGTAGCACTGGGTCCATTCCAAGAGGCATTCCCTTCCTCCCCTCCCACACCAGGATTGCACTGACCAGACTCTTCTCTGTTTGGTCTGTGAGTTTTATTTTCAAAAATGCCAAAATGCATGACAGAGAAGGCCTGGAAATCTCATTAGAAGGAAGCGTTTGTCTCTGTGGTTGTGACTGCAACCCTATTAATTTCTTGACAAGGGAGCAGGGGTTAGCTCTTCTTATTTACTGAGCCTTTCTGTGTTCTTTTTTGATATAGCTTATTCTGACTATTACCATCTGGACCAGAAATCAATGACTGGCATTGTTGTTGGGGTTTGCATAGCCTTGACCTGCATCCTTATCTGCATCCTGATCTTAATTTATCGAAGTAAAGCCAGGTATGTTTTTATTCTTGAAGAATGAGCTCTTTTTCAGGACGCACTCATTCTTGGGATGTGCTTCCTCCTCCAAGAGTGCTAAGTTCTCTGAAGTACTCTGTCTCTTCACCTGTTTCTACTAGCATTGGAAACAAAGCACTTTGTTGGCTCTTCCTACTCTACCTGAGCCCCTTCTCCAATGAAAAGGAGGAAGAACCCACAGAGTGAGTCAGTGGTGGTGCTTTGACAACTAAGTATGAGGCATGTTTCCAAATGCAAACCCCCCTTTGAGTCAGATGAGCATGCTGCTGTCCATCATCTGCTCTTCCTGCTTAACCCTCCAGCCTGCCCAGACATGGTTTTGCAAGGCTTTAACCCCCCTGGGTGTTGCTGGACAAAAGGAACTCTGACATAAAGCAGTTCCATGATGCAGTTTCCACAGCAGATCCATGATGCAGTTTCTTTGCAGTGGTGCAAGCCACCATCTGTCTGTCTGTCTGTCATGAGCTGCTATAGTGTATAAACTGGCCTAGTGACTGCCCAAAACTCTGGGATCAGAAAAAATATAAGTTACTTTAAATAATACATTAAAAACTCTTTAACAGAGTATTTCAGTAACAAGGGCTTTTTAGCATTCATACAGGAAAAAATATGGATTGGGAGACAGTCTCTGTGTAGCATGGTAGAAAGGTCTTAATATCATTAGTGGTTACTTCCTCCAAGTAATATTACTAATCATGACAATTCCTGTCTGCTCATAAGCTTGTAGCCTACTGTGTATGATTAACTGGAAGCAGATGTTATTTTTATCACAAGCAATAACATTTAAATTCCATGTGAGTTAGGAGTATCATATAACAAAATGTAAATGCCGAGAGTATACCAGCATTACTGGATTAATAGTAGCTTTGAAGTTTATCCTTGATTTTTTTGTATTTTATTCCTGTGGGTCAATTTTTTTCCTGCTTAACACTGTGTAGGAAAACATCTGCTCCTAAGCCGGTGCAGCAAAACACTGACCAGCTGTCACATACCAGCATCTCATTAGCCAGTGCTAATGAGGTGGAGAAGAATACTGAAGGAGTTGCAGAGAATGAAGAATCCTTACTGCCAATGATAGTGGGAAACAACTTCATCGATGCTAAGGTACTGTGAGCTTTACTTGCTCCCAAATCAGAAATCTTTCTTTAGAAGTAATTCCTATAACATCAGAGTCCTTATCAAATGTAAAATATGTGTACTACAAACCCCCAGGAAGTTTTGTTTTTAACGGAACAAGCACAGGTTTGGCAATCCAGGCTCAAATTTTCAAGACTTATCTGAAAGTTCAGCTAGAGATCTGGTTCAGACTTGTCTTACACTGTACTCTGCAGATTGCAGTGTTTGGCTCTGGCACAGCATCACAGGATAAAAGCTCCACAGACTCGAGGCTGCTCGGTGGCCTCTGTTCGTCCAAGGAGATAAGTGAGAGTCCTTGTCAGCAGCCAGCTCAGCAAGTGCCTGTGCACAATCTAGTCAAGTGTGGCACTAAGCAACTATTAAAGAAAGTATTCTTTTTCTGCATATTTGCTGGAAAGACAATGTTACAGTTTATAAGCTCATATTTGATCAAACTATAAATTAGTTTAGATGGCAGAATGTACCAGTGGATGTATACAATCTTAAGCCCAGGAGTCCACTGTGACAAAACCACAGTGGCCTTCCTTTCACGTGCAGACATAGTGAATTAAAGCTTATTCTGTTCACACTGCAAACTTGAATGGGGCTGCTCCCTGAGGATATATGCAAGAGCTGGGGAATGGAAATGGACCCCAGTGCAGGCACAGACACTCTAAATGTGAATGGTTAACATCCAAAGTAGTAGAGCAAGAGCAGCAGCTGGAATATTTTGCTGTGTGTCTGCAGTATTACAGCTGCTGGGTCTGGAAGGTGGGCTTCCCAGATTTAGTGGATCTGTTCTTGACTTGTCTCGAGCAGATGAGTACCAGACCACAAACAGTGTGACTCAGCACTGAGACTTCATTTGTCTTCATTTTCAGTATGGAGCCAATAGGTAGGAATAGAAAAATATTTTCAAATATCTTAGAAATTTACTTTATTAAAATAAATGTCTGCATATTCCTCTGTTGTAGGGAGGATCTGATCTGATTATTAACAGCTATGGGCCTGTGACAAAGGCTAACAGCAAGAAAAGGTGGCTGTTCTTCCAAGATACTAAGAAGGTGAAGACTGAGGAGGTAATTGCTTCAATGGGCAAAGATGCACAATCTTTACTCTTAGACCCTGTGTTTGCAAAGGAATATATGTAGTTCTCCATTTGTGGAAAAGTGTAACTAATGGTCTAAGTTTTAATTGGATAGTTTCAGTTATGTTAAGGTTGATGGTGTTCTATCTCATAGTAAAGTCTTATGAATATTTCATTTTCTGACAGATATTGTCGGGACACTGTAACTCTTTACAGTTGTCAGACACTGCAACTCTCCACAATTAACTGATCACTTTCTTGCCTTTGCCCTTTTATCTGTGAGCAAAAGGATTTCTGTGTACTGGGTCTGTACATCACGTGTACTACATCTGCAGAGACTGTATAAATATAAATACAAATTAAACACGTATTTGCAAATAAAAATAATATTAAAATATAGAGAATCCTCTCCTACCCTGACAGGCAAAACTTCTGTTTGCTGAAGAGAAACAAAGGAGGGAAACTAAATGATATACCCAAAGTACTGAGGAAATTGAGAATCTTAGTAGAACTGTCTGGCTGCTGAAATCGTTGCCAATTATCAGCATTTGCTATTTGGTTGAGAAAAATAACAGTTTAGAACTGAAGTGTTCAACCAAACCTGGAACATTGTAATGCAAATTCACACCTGTGGAGTATGTAACTACTCTTTATTTCATTGTAACTTGTTTTGTGCTCTTGTGTGTTTAAGAAATAGAAAGTCTTGATATCCATGTTGTAAATTCATATTCAAAAGTATTTCCAGAAGCAGCTGTGTATTTCTGATACCTCTATATGAAAAATATTTGCTATCACCCCAGGAGTAATGCTTAAAGAATATGCATGAGGGGACAGGAGAGAACTCTACCAAGTGTGGTTTTAAAACACTGTTCAGGTCTCTGCAGTGGAATAATTTTTGATTACTCATGCATATCTGGAAGGATTATTTCATCTATTATGGAAGAAAAAAATATGAGCGAGACTTGAGATTGATTCTTCTTAAACTCCTGTAGGAAAGCCCTGGTTGTTCTGAAGCAGCGCTGTTAGGAGCACTCTGGTGGACAAGAAGGCAGGAAATGCAGTAAAAATCCAAATTATGGCTCAGTTTTTCAGAGGTTCAACAACCCTTTTCTCTCTCTTGTTGTGTAGCCTCCGAGAAGGTTTGTGCAGGCGGTGTGTCTGTACCAGCCAGGCCCCCCCGTGCTGGTCAGTGAGGACTCCCCCAGCTCTCCGGGCCAGCAGTCCAACTTCCAGGTGCCCTTCAGTATTGCTGCCGACACGGAGCATTCGGCCAACAGCGAGGGAAGCCACGAGACCGGCGACTCTGGAAGGTTTTCTCATGAATCCAACGATGAGATACATCTCTCCTCTGTGACCAGTGCCACCCCTCCCACCACCAGTCCTTTTGTGAGCAGTGACTTGGGTACGAACGTGATGAGCCTGACCATCAGTGACTGCACAGAGTCTCCCCTGCTGTTTGCTGCTGACCAGACTCCTACCTCACCTCCTCAGATCCACCCTGCAGTGCAAAACTGACATCCTGGGGCCACGCCAGACATTCTGACAGTGTATGTCTGTTCGAAGGACAATGAACAGGGAGCCAAAGTTTTATTGTGGAAAGCCTGACTAACCTAGCAGGTGATCCATATTTCTGTTGAATGTTTGTTTTTTTTTTTTTTTTTCTTGCTTAATTTTGATTTGGTTTTTTTTTTAAACTCACTCATTTTGAATGTTCAGTGGTCAAAAAATGTGAAAGGAGTGAAGATTTCTGACTAAAGTTAAAAATATGTCACTGGAGCAAAGGGAAGGCTGTTGGCCCTTTTGCTGACTATCTACCTCAGTTTGCCGAGAGGTGAACTCTGAATGACGACTGCTTTACCTCATTTGTGTTCTAGTTGGTCTCAGCTATGGAACTGATGATTCTTCCTAGTAGTGTTGTTTTATTTTGAGTTTTTTGGGTTTGGTTTGGTTTTTTCCCCCCCCAGTTGTGTGTAGAATGTGTGTATGTGTGCGTGCATATGTATGTGCTCAGCGATCGGGGAGTTGTATAGGTTGGTGAACAAGATTGTTTAGCTGAAGCTCTGTCTTTGAAAAGAAGGAAACCTCAGAGTATAAAAAGTTAGGATTTCATGTGGTTGACACAGAGTATGTTAAAAACTGGGAAAACTGGAGCTTCCACATGTAGAGCCACATGAAATCTTTTGTACCTCTTGATTTCTTATAACCCCAGTAAGCCTAGGACAGTGCCTTTCCCCCAGAAACCTGTGCCAGCAACTGCTGACAGGATGTTTGCTCTATCCTTAGGGCTCTGGGACACGGTGGATTCCCCACAGTGTGACAAATGTTGCCCCTTTATTCACAGTTAAGGCTAAAAAGCATGGCAAAATGAAGAAGTACTCAGCATTTACAAACAGTGTGGCTCTGCCTGAGAGTCATGGAAGAGATAATAATGCTGAGTATTCCAGTATCGCAGTACTTCTTAGCAATGGTGCCTTGCATTATATATTATGAAATTACTGATTTGCCTTATGCCTTTTTAGTATTCATAAAGTTGCTTTGGAGTACAGAAAGATGCCTTAAATCCTTCTTAGATTTTTTAAAGTAAACTGTATCATGAGTTTATAGTTCATTTTTACCCAGATTTGAGTGCTGATACGCACTGCTAGCATTGTAATGTCTCAGAGCTGTTGTTAGAATGCAACCCTGCTCCTTGCCTTCACCTAGTGTGCTATTAGCCAGGAATTTTAGCTCAGGGAGTTTACCACATGCCAATCTAAAACTCTTAGTAGGCTACCATGAGAAATAATAAAGCCAGAGCTTTAGTTGAAGAGTCTGTTTAAAGAGGTGAGTACTGCTACTGCCTCAAACCCATGCAATTCCTGTTTTATACTACCTCCTTTAAAAATTATTCTAGTGTTTTTTGGGTTTTGTTGATGTTGTTTTTTCCTGTACTCAGGGAACAGTTTGTTACTTTTAAGCTGCCTCACAGAAACGTGGAGCAAACTGACAGGGTATCGTTTTGTTTTTTAATAGGAGAGAGCGAGAGACAGGGAGGGGGCTGGAATCATCCAATGTTAGAAACTTGCCTGTATCTATATCCAGTCTTCTTCTCACTCCTCCTCTTTCCCTGTTTTACTTAAACATAAAAAAAAAAAAGAAAAAAAAGAAATAAAGAAAAGGAAAGGAAAAAAATTAGGCATATGTTTTTACTCAAAGAAAATGTTTAAAATGTAATGTGGTGAGAAATCAACCATAGGAACTCCTGGCTCTATTTAAGTCTGTCAGAACTCCATTGACTTTACTGGGGCTGAGATGTCACTCTCCAGGTGGGCCAGGCTGGCTTGTGTTGTTCCTCATGTATCAGTAGGAGGTGAGAAGCTGTTGGTAAGCCCTACTCTTCTGGTTGGTTTGTGCTGAGGAATCTGGCTCTGGTTGCTGGAGTTCTGTTTAGAACTGTTTGCTAGTTCACATTCACCTTCCATAACAGCATTGATTCAAATGCTTTAAAAATAATCTTGTACCAAAGACTTTTCTGTAGAAGAGAAGGAAGCCACATATTGTCCAAAAATAATTAAACTAGGTAAAAAATTATAGGTTTGAAGAGCTGAATACATTTTATTGTATAAGTAGTTACTAACAAAAACCAGTAGGGCTTCTTGATTGTAGTAGCCAATTGCATAGGTGAATTGTATGCTTCTACAATTTTAACTACCTTGTTGTTACAAGAGCCTTTAAAGAAAGTTATAATACCAGCAGATACCTCCAAAGAATTCCAAGTGTAATTTTTTTCTCCAGCATGTAGTTGATTAACAATACAGTATTAAGAAAAATATTTTTGAACAGTTTTTTATCTACTTGCTGAAGAAAAAGAAAACCTTTTCACCAAAGATTTATTTTTGGTCTTGTCAGGCAGAATGTTTAGTGTACAGCAGAGTACTCTTTCTAGTTAGGAAAAGTGTGAATTAATCAAAGTTAGAGTAAGAATGTGTAACTGTAGCATGAAGTTTCACACTTCATCTTTCAGAGTAGCCTCTTTTGTTAGTCTCATTCAGAAAGAGCTGATATGCAGATGGTAACTGCTTCTCCAAAGACTTGTTTGCTGTAAGTACTGGTAATCAGATGTAATTTTATAACCTTCATTACAGGTAAATACTATAAATCCACTTTGCAGTTTAACCTATGGATGATTTGAGTGAAAAAGACTTCATATAAAATCTGTCAATCTTCTATAGATGCTCTAAGTTTAATAAGCCAAAGAGTTGAAATACTCGGTGTATTAGAGACCGGAACTCTATTGATCACTTAATGTTTTATCAAGGTACTTCTTATCAGCAAATAAAGAAAACCAAAGATATTTAAGGTTACCTCAGCATATAGGCAAGCTTAGTTAGGCATTAATTATTCTGTCTTTTTCTTTACTTTTATGTTAACCAAATATAATACACTTCTCCAGAACCCAGTCTACATTCATGTGCTTCCCTTTGGCACAGTCGTGATTGCTACAGAACAGAAAATGTCCTCTCCTCAAAATTTATAGCCTAGCAGTAATATATCACAAGATTTTGTGGTAGAAAATTTGTCTTACAACTGAAAACTCCAACAAGGTAAGCAAAGGAATCTCCAGAAAAATTGTGTAGAAATCGATACTTTATTTATTGATCTCAATAGCAGAATCAATCCTTCATGATTGTAACAGTGCAGAAGTGGGCTCAGAGCTTAAATGCTTCCCATCCTTGAAGCCAATACAGGTAATTATGAATATGATATTACAGATAATAATTTTCTTAAAAATTTGTACCTGTGGCTGTCTAAGGAAAAGAGTTTTTTATATGTAAACGTCTTCATTCCATTTGCCTAGAAAGAGCTGGCAGAACACAGCAGGCAGACTGGTTTCAGGTTTTCCAGGTGTTTTTTTTCTTGGTTATGTCTGTAGAAACTGGATCCTGGAGAAAAAAAAATAATATCTTAATTATGAATTTTTCTAAATATGTTCTGAAAGATGAACATAAATGTGGAATTTAGTGTTACACTATGAGAATTGATTTTGTTTAACTGTACTGAGAACTAAGGAGCCATGGCTGGTGTAATGAGTGTATATGCAACCCTCGTGTTTTAAAAAAAAGAGCAAAAATCATGTGACTTGAAAACCACCAAAACTTAAAGAGGAAACCTTGAAAGCTAACTTACCATGCTAATCATGTTTCTAAGTGAGCACTCTGCCCTTCAGCTGCAACAGCAATGCTTGTTCTGCAGAACCTGGATCCAAAACTAAGTGCTCAATCTGCCCACAGTTACACTTGTGTACTTTCTTAATATTTAACAAATAAAAAATATTCTCATCTTTCAGGAATTATCTAAGAAAATTGGGAATGTGTATGCTGTGTAGAACAGGGCATATCAGTTGATTATTTTTGTAATAGTTCTGCTTTTGTAAGAGAAAACTAAAAAATCTACATATCACTTTCAGTAATTTCCTATATTAGCTCTGCATTTTCTGTATAACTGATGAGATTTTTAACAGAAAAGGGTATCAAGAGATTGCTTTGCCTGGTTTTAATTATTCTTATAGTTCATTCTCTGGGTTTAGTCCCATGTTTTAGACTATGAGCTTCATCTTGTTTGCTTTACTCAAATAAGGGCCATCATCCTGTTTCTTTTTAAGCCAATGGGAGAATTAATTTGTATTTCAGTTTGCATAGTCGGGACAGACAAAATAAGCTTTTTGTCTGCTTATTTTTTAAATCTCCACTGTATTATTATTTTAGAAGGACAGAATTCTTAGATGGTTAAAACTCCCATTGGCTTAAGGTTTTGTTGTGTTGGGCCCTCTGGTTCCACTGCGAGTTGGGCTCCTTCGAATTAAGTTTTCTGGTTTTCATGCTTGCATATACCCACACTGCACCTGCCTGGTGTGTTTTCAGTGAAGACTGACTGTATATGAAAAACTGACTTATACAAATGTTGCTTTTTGATTGTTTGGCTTTTGGTTTTTGGTTGGGTTTCTTTTGTTTGTTTGTTTGTTTTTTTAAGTTGTGAATGACTTGCCAGTGTAGGAGCCAGGTATGTATCTCATATTGTGGTGTTCTGGATCCTTTCACTCCGTGTGCCATTTTCTTCTAAGGGCAGCAATGGCTGACTGGCTAATGGAGGATGGAGCTGAATTGTATTAATTTTATATTTGTCTCAGGGGATCAGCTCTGTGAATTCCATTGGGTGAGGGAAGCTAATGTTTGCCCTGATTTGAATGTAACTTTTTAATGTCCTTTAAAAACTATTTTGTTTAATAATGTGGATTTGTTTTTCTTTTTCTAGCATCCTAGTAAATGTTACCTAGTGTGTTGGTTCATTTTTCCCCTCCAGGGTTGTTTATATACTACCCCAAGGTCATGCCAAAAAGTAATAGAAGTTTAAATGCCAAATGTTTATGGAACTGCTGTCTAAATACTGATTGATTGCACAGTTGAAATAAAAGTTTTCCTTAGTAAAAGTGCTACTTGCTGAATACTTTATTTTCAGTGTGTCTGAGGACTGGCTCAAAGCGAAGAAGTTGTAATTACAATGCCTCATTTCAGGCTGGGCAGATAGGGAGATGTTGGCACTTGAAGTCATAAAATGAGGTAAACTGCACGTGCCTTATTATTTAAATTCATAGAACTTTCCCAAGCATGTATTCATTTATCACTTATGTACCTGGAATTATTCCCACCTAAAACCTCTTGTGTCCCACTACTGTTGAACACCCATGCATGGTCTCTGCTTTGGCTTCACCTTTTCCTCCCCACATAGCGAAGAAGATGGTATTTGAACCTCTCTCTCCACATACCTGCATGCTGGAGCCCCGGGTTCAGATTTGACAGAGACATCATATTGTTTCTACCTGAAGGTGGAGTGTAAGGTTTATTTCAATCCCATAGTTTAAATCTCATTTACATAGCAATGCACCATTAAGGCATACAGAAAATGCAAATAATTCAGAATTCAGAATCTAGCTGTACCTTAGTGAAAGGGATGCCATGCATGGATATCTCTAGTCCACAGGATCTCCCTTGGCTGGCAATGGAGGCCCAGGGGGCTGACACCCATTTGGCTGCCAACTGCTCTCTGAGAGGCTCCTGCCCATTCTTGGGTGGGAATCCCCATTTGCCCTGCGAGAACCAGCTGAGAGGGTTTTCTGGCAGTGCTGCCAAGTGGTCCATGTTCCTCAAGGTTTCACTGGAGAGATGGCTCAGATGTCACTGGAAGTTGACCAAAATTCCAGGTGGGTCCAGGGGATGCTAGATACTGTAATCATCCCCAGTTTAGAAGGGTGAAAGTGAATTTCTGTGTGTGATAGAAGACAATGTTTCCTGTTATACTCCTCCATGGGACATTTTAAATCAGTGCCCAGAACAATGGA